CTCCTCTATCCATTGTGGATTGCTTGGGTCTGATAAACCGTTAAATTGAGTAGCGAGGTACGAGAGATTTGGGACGAAAACGAGTACGATGACAAACATGGGGATTTTACAAGATGTGTGCGAATCTTAGGTTAAACTATCTAACGTACGAATGACGGACACTCTCTGGTCCAATTAACGCAACCGAGAGTTTGACGTGTTTTGGCCAGAAAAACGAATTGCAAAAAGTGTGCGAAAAACGCGCAAGGGCCGAATCCGTTTTCGGATTCGTTGACCGTGAGTATTGGCCTTAATCTGCGAGAATCGAATTCGAACCCTCCGACTACATCACTGGTTCTTCAAGACTACGAATAAACAGAAGTAACTTGCAACATAAAGGAAAGGAGGATGTTATCAATACCGCTTGCTGCATAAAAAGGAAATCAAATCAAAAAGAGGAGAAAGAAGTCGTGATGAACGAAAGCAAAACCCTCAGCTTGGCAATTAAGAAAATCATTCCATACTGCAATGAAAACTCGGATCACGCTTTGCTTCGGAAGATTGGATTTGCATTGAAGTCTGAAAAAGATGAACTCAAGGGCGCCAGTTTGGAAGGATCCACAAATTATTCCTTTAAAATATATCTGGAGAGTGATCCTAGTGTGGCCTTGTTTGCAAAAGTTGCATTCTCTTACGCTCTTTGGAATCCCAATCGAGAGGTCAAGTTCGGAGTTGAAAGAGAAACCATGGAGTTCAACATGATGAGAAGGTTCGCGGAGTCAATTGGAGAATCGGCGCCAGTCGCAAAACCTTATTTGTGTATTGATATTGATACAAGCACCCGCATGCTTGTGTGTGAATTCATAGAGTCTCGTCTACTTGCAAACCAGTTTGTTGAAGGCACAGTTGACAGGCGGGTGCTTCCGAAGATTGCATCATTTGTTGCGGAGTTGAATCTACAGAGTATGAATGACCCGAGCTTGAACGAAGGAATAAAGGATTCATATAGATCACTTTATCCCACATCAAAAGAGGCATTTGGGGCAATGGTGAATTCAAAAGAGGAAAACGATGATGATCACTTCTTGGCGTATGCAAAGAAAGTCGGTACATCGCGATTCTCCGATATTATCGACGCAATGGGGAGAGAATACGAGAAGAGCGAGTGCCTATTGCATGGAGATATGCACTCATTGAATATCTTGGTGGAGCCATTTACAGAAAATGGATTTGGGGAGAAAGGGAGCTTCGTCCTCTGCGACTGGGAAATGGCGCACGCTGGTGTGAAGGGAAGGGATGCTGGTAGCTTTTATGCGTGGCCTATTCTATCCGCTTTCTTCTTGATTGGTCGAGGCCGACGCAAAGAAGCTGATGATGTCCTGGATTGTATACTCCAGTTTTGGAATGAATATGAAAGAACGCTCGTCAAGGTTGGGGGTAAGGATGCCGCATATTTGGTTGAGACCTACCGTTCGTCCATCGGATGGTGTGGAGTGTACTTATTTATTGCAAACTATCTTCTAGGGGCACAGAAAGGCGCAATGCCGTTTCACCTCGTTTCGGAGTTTGCCAGGGAGAAGATATGGGCCTCAGTAGGGCTGACTGGCTTGAGATGCTTAGAGTATGCTTTCATGAAGGAGGAGCCCCATTCTACAATAGAGGAACTTCAATCATGGTTCGGAAGTCTTGTGTCAGATCAGGTGGAACTTCTCTGTAAGGTGATCAAGGACTAGAACCTTGATGAAAAATCGCTTTTGCACCCGGCAACGAATCAACCAGCGAATGCTTGTCAGAAAGACGCAACGTGCAACACGTCGGAATCATGGACTACGGATTGGAAATACCATGAAGTCCCACGTAGCAGCAACTTGCGTCTGGTTCAGTCCAGAGGCTATTATTGCTTGCCGTTCTATTCTAGTCATAATTGACACACTTTCAACAGTTTGATCACCTTTGTAGCGTGCACTGAAATGGTTCAGCAAAAGCGTCTTGGCTCGGACTCTCTTAGCGAATTCCCCCGCAATGTGCGGGGTTGAGTGCCCGTGAATCATCGCATCGCGTGTTACACCACGCATGTCTGTGTCTTTATCAATGCCTGACAGGTACGAATTCGTTGCTTCATGAATAACTACATCAGCATCTATCGCGAGGCCTGCATCGAGATGACAGAATTGTAAAAGTTAGGGGAAAAAGAGAGAGCAATGAATATAAGTCGAAATTGGAGTTGCCAATTCACCTGCTAGAGCCCTGGCGCTCGCTGTATCCCCGCATATTGCAATCTTCCTACCCCTCCTTGGTGGTTCAACGGCCTCTTCTTGAGTTACCACTGTTCCATCCGGAAAGGTGAAAGCGCTTCCTGGTTGCAAATTTTTTATTACTGCCATTGCTTTCATCGGCACCTTAAACCCTGCTTCCTTCAGAGCAGCCAGATTTCTTTCTACAATTGGTTTCACGAGATCATTACGCAGCCTTCCGGGACGGCTTTCCTCCTCAACAACATAGCCAACACAGGGCACCCCGTGAGACATTGGTGCTGCAAATACCTTGATATCATCAGCTTTGGAAACTTCCCAGATTGGGGCACCATCGGATGCCTTTGGGTGGTTGTAAATTGGATAGATATCAGTACCTCCCTCTACTTCACCATATCGAGACGAAGGGTCCAAATTCATCATGTCTGCCTTCGAGATCCAACTTTGGCGGTCTTCACCAGCAAGTCCTTGATCTCCCCATCGCTTCTGTCTAGAGTTTTTCCTACGAAGACCTTTGTAGAAGTATCGGCCAGTTTTGCGATTCATTTCCCACTCTGGAGCCATAGGAATGTCCTTTATCTCGTGAACTCTATAATTTGGTACAATTCTTGAAACTGAGTACCGAATTGCAACGCGAAGCCACATTCGCAGACCTTCAGGTCCATAAATTTCAACTGGTTCGGAAGTCTCTCTGTCCCGATCCTGTCCCATGAGGCAAAGAATGCCGGGCAATCCAAAGCTATGATCACCATGTGCGTGCGTAATAAAAATTCGATTGATTTTGCTCGGTCGAACAGATGGAGTCCGTTGAACCTGGAGCTGCAAGAGGGGTATTAAGTAGCTTGTGTTAGTGGGGAGGTAAACTTTAGAGCGCATTGATACGATCATTTACGGAGAATTGACTTGTTGAGCCGGTGTCATTTTGAATTATTGAGTGTGTTAAAACCTACCTGTGTACACTCCCCACAGTCGAAGAGCCACGTCCCACCCGCTGAGACATCCAAGGTCCCTTCATATGGTCCAGCTGGTACTCCGGCAATCGGTTTACGATTGTTCAAATTCAACCTCAAGGCGGTGCAGCTTACACCTCGTGTGATTCCGGGTGAACAACTGGCTGTACCAACAAAAATAACATCCATGTCACCACTTGTATTCGAATTCCTGAACGCAGGATGCCATAGCTGCCTGACATCTTCTTCACCAAGGGATACGCACTCTTGGTCTTTAAGTGGAGGATACATCTCATAAACTTTTTGGAATAGAGTATCTTTTGCAGATAGCACGTTTGGTGCTTTGAGTCCAAGTCTCTTTGGCATTGAAATTGGATGACTCGGGGAATCATTACTAATTTCTTGGGATGAAATGTTGTCCTTCCTATTCAAAATGCTTTCTCGATCGGACGAGACCAGGTTTGTTTTGAGATATTCGACAAGATCTTGCTTTCGTTTCAGTTTTGTCAAAAGCCCTCGTGGTTTGTTGACATTGGACTCCTTCAAAATCTGTCGCAAATCCTTCACAGTCATGGAATCTAAAGATTGCTCTAAATCAAAATCATTGTAAGCACTAAAAGCAACGACACTGTGCGTTGCTCTGCACTGGTTTTTATTCGTTGGAACAAATGCAAGAACTGAAAGGACATTGCCGTAGCAAAACAAATGCAAGACAACAACCGAAAAAATGTGCTGGCCGCCACGAAATTTCATCTTGTTCTACACTCGATACCGTGGGTCGGTTGTACGTCTTCGTTGCCAGTTGAGTGCTTGTTGAACTTCGATGCTGTGCCTTATAGCGCTATTCCACCTCTTTCGCATTGCGACGTGAGGTTTTGGTGGCCAGAAAACGACGAAGTCGCTCATGTGAAAAGGGGGAGTTTTGCACACAAATTAATTCAAATCTGTTGTCTCATGGTCTAGAGTAATTGAGATTCCCCATTCCATTTCTGAATGCTGACTGCGACTGACCGAGTGACCGAGTGACCGACTACCTAGAATAAATGTGATTGGCTGAAATCGGAAGACGTGCAGACGCTTTATGACTATGCCTCGAAAGAAGCATTCGTCGATCTTGCCGTCTATCCGAAGTTGAGGGAAGCGATTGCTCATCCTTCTCAATCGCTTTGGATTTCGCAGACTCCAATTGGGCCTAAAAGAGTTTCAATGATGTTTTTGGGCTGACAGTTGTTACTAGCTGTTGGCCCACTAGGGTAATCTTAATAACTATCTATTCCTAGACTTCAAATTCACTTTGTCAAATACAGAGCAGTCTTTTCAAAAGGAATGAGCTGCAACTGAGCTGCAGCTCCTTCACCAACTTCTTTCACAACCTCTTTGGTACGTAGCTTTCCACTGTCCTGCTACTGTACCTTCTTTGCATACGTACTTGGGCGTTCCGATCAGTCCGTCCTTCGCTAGCCAACACCTGCAGTATATCACACCATGTTGGCTAAAACAGCCAGTCTGGTCCTCAAAAATGTGACAAGCTGGTTCTGACCCAGCTACCGGTATATCCTATCTATTTGTCACGCCTGAAGACCACTTTTAATCCATATAAACCTGGATTTTCCACAAGTACTTTGTTAGTCCCAACAGTACTTCATTAGTTCTTACACGCGCACGTGAATTCCCAACACACTCCTTCGAGCGATGGATCGTGCATGTGATTCATCCGATCATTCAAAACAGCCAGTCTGGTCCTCAAAAATGTGACAAGCTGGTTCTGACCCAGCTACCGGTATATCCTATCTATTTGTCACGCCTGAAGACCACTTTTAATCCATATAAACCTGGATTTTCCACAAGTACTTTGTTAGTCCCAACAGTACTTCATTAGTTCTTACACGCGCACGTGAATTCCCAACACACTCCTTCGAGCGATGGATCGTGCATGTGATTCATCCGATCATTCAAAACAGCCAGTCTGGTCCTCAAAAATGTGACAAGCTGGTTCTGACCCAGCTACCGGTATATCCTATCTATTTGTCACGCCTGAAGACCACTTTTAATCCATATAAACCTGGATTTTCCACAAGTACTTTGTTAGTCCCAACAGTACTTCATTAGTTCTTACACGCGTACGTGAATTCCCAACACACTCCTTCGAGCGATGGATCGTGCATGTGATTGATTCATTCGATCGGACATTCTGTCTGTCCGTCTGTTGTCGGCCCTTATTCAATTGTTCGTTTTACTCACTCCTTTGAGCCCCTATTCTTCAGGGATTTGAACCCTTGACCTCAGCCTTGTCTCTTATCTTGAGACCTCCTATCTTTTGCAGTCTATCTACTGCAGCTAGGTACTGAAACTCAGCGATTGCTCATCCTTCTCAATCGCTTTGGATTTCGCAGACTCCAATTGGGCCTAAAAGAGTTTCAATGATGTTTTTGGGCTGACAGTTGTTACTAGCTGTTGGCCCCCAATCCCCCAGCGCAAGCGCTGGTTTCCTCCAAGGGTGAGGTGGGACTAGGGTAATCTTTATAACTATCTATTCCTAGACTTCAAATTCACTCTGTCAAATACAGAGCAGTCTTTTCAAAAGGAATGAGCTGCAACTGAGCTGCAGCTCCTTTACCAACTTCTTTCACAACCTCTTTGGTACGTAGCTTTCCACTGTCCTGCTACTGTACCTTCTTTGCATACATACTTGGGCGTTCCGATCAGTCCGTCCTTCGCTAGCCAACACCTGCAGCGATTGCTCATCCTTCTCAATCGCTTTGGATTTCGCAGACTCCAATTGGGCCTAAAAGAGTTTCAATGATGTTTTTGGGCTGACAGTTGTTACTAGCTGTTGGCCCCCAATCCCCCAGCGCAAGCGCTGGTTTCCTCCAAGGGTGAGGTGGGACTAGGGTAATCTTTATAACTATCTATTCCTAGACTTCAAATTCACTCTGTCAAATACAGAGCAGTCTTTTCAAAAGGAATGAGCTGCAACTGAGCTGCAGCTCCTTTACCAACTTCTTTCACAACCTCTTTGGTACGTAGCTTTCCACTGTCCTGCTACTGTACCTTCTTTGCATACATACTTGGGCGTTCCGATCAGTCCGTCCTTCGCTAGCCAACACCTGCAGCGATTGCTCATCCTTCTCAATCGCTTTGGATTTCGCAGACTCCAATTGGGCCTAAAAGAGTTTCAATGATGTTTTTGGGCTGACAGTTGTTACTAGCTGTTGGCCCCCAATCCCCCAGCGCAAGCGCTGGTTTCCTCCAAGGGTGAGGTGGGACTAGGGTAATCTTTATAACTATCTATTCCTAGACTTCAAATTCACTCTGTCAAATACAGAGCAGTCTTTTCAAAAGGAATGAGCTGCAACTGAGCTGCAGCTCCTTTACCAACTTCTTTCACAACCTCTTTGGTACGTAGCTTTCCACTGTCCTGCTACTGTACCTTCTTTGCATACATACTTGGGCGTTCCGATCAGTCCGTCCTTCGCTAGCCAACACCTGCAGCGATTGCTCATCCTTCTCAATCGCTTTGGATTTCGCAGACTCCAATTGGGCCTAAAAGAGTTTCAATGATGTTTTTGGGCTGACAGTTGTTACTAGCTGTTGGCCCCCAATCCCCCAGCGCAAGCGCTGGTTTCCTCCAAGGGTGAGGTGGGACTAGGGTAATCTTTATAACTATCTATTCCTAGACTTCAAATTCACTCTGTCAAATACAGAGCAGTCTTTTCAAAAGGAATGAGCTGCAACTGAGCTGCAGCTCCTTTACCAACTTCTTTCACAACCTCTTTGGTACGTAGCTTTCCACTGTCCTGCTACTGTACCTTCTTTGCATACATACTTGGGCGTTCCGATCAGTCCGTCCTTCGCTAGCCAACACCTGCAGCGATTGCTCATCCTTCTCAATCGCTTTGGATTTCGCAGACTCCAATTGGGCCTAAAAGAGTTTCAATGATGTTTTTGGGCTGACAGTTGTTACTAGCTGTTGGCCCCCAATCCCCCAGCGCAAGCGCTGGTTTCCTCCAAGGGTGAGGTGGGACTAGGGTAATCTTTATAACTATCTATTCCTAGACTTCAAATTCACTCTGTCAAATACAGAGCAGTCTTTTCAAAAGGAATGAGCTGCAACTGAGCTGCAGCTCCTTTACCAACTTCTTTCACAACCTCTTTGGTACGTAGCTTTCCACTGTCCTGCTACTGTACCTTCTTTGCATACGTACTTGGGCGTTCCGATCAGTCCGTCCTTCGCTAGCAGCTCCTTTACCAACTTCTTTCACAACCTCTTTGGTACGTAGCTTTCCACTGTCCTGCTACTGTACCTTCTTTGCATACGTACTTGGGCGTTCCGATCAGTCCGTCCTTCGCTAGCCAACACCTGCAGCGATTGCTCATCCTTCTCAATCGCTTTGGATTTCGCAGACTCCAATGGGGCCTAAAAGAGTTTCAATGATGTTTTTGGGCTGACAGTTGTTACTAGCTGTTGGCCCCCAATCCCCCAGCGCAAGCGCTGGTTTCCTCCAAGGGTGAGGTGGGACTAGGGTAATCTTAATAACTATCTATTCCTAGACTTCAAATTCACTCTGTCAAATACAGAGCAGTCTTTTCAAAAGGAATGAGCTGCAACTGAGCTGCAGCTCCTTCACCAACTTCTTTCACAACCTCTTTGGTACGTAGCTTTCCACTGTCCTGCTACTGTACCTTCTTTGCATACGTACTTGGGCGTTCCGATCAGTCCGTCCTTCGCTAGCCAACACCTGCAGCGATTGCTCATCCTTCTCAATCGCTTTGGATTTCGCAGACTCCAATGGGGCCTAAAAGAGTTTCAATGATGTTTTTGGGCTGACAGTTGTTACTAGCTGTTGGCCCCCAATCCCCCAGCGCAAGCGCTGGTTTCCTCCAAGGGTGAGGTGGGACTAGGGTAATCTTAATAACTATCTATTCCTAGACTTCAAATTCACTCTGTCAAATACAGAGCAGTCTTTTCAAAAGGAATGAGCTGCAACTGAGCTGCAGCTCCTTCACCAACTTCTTTCACAACCTCTTTGGTACGTAGCTTTCCACTGTCCTGCTACTGTACCTTCTTTGCATACGTACTTGGGCGTTCCGATCAGTCCGTCCTTCGCTAGCCAACACCTGCAGCGATTGCTCATCCTTCTCAATCGCTTTGGATTTCGCAGACTCCAATGGGGCCTAAAAGAGTTTCAATGATGTTTTTGGGCTGACAGTTGTTACTAGCTGTTGGCCCCCAATCCCCCAGCGCAAGCGCTGGTTTCCTCCAAGGGTGAGGTGGGACTAGGGTAATCTTAATAACTATCTATTCCTAGACTTCAAATTCACTCTGTCAAATACAGAGCAGTCTTTTCAAAAGGAATGAGCTGCAACTGAGCTGCAGCTCCTTCACCAACTTCTTTCACAACCTCTTTGGTACGTAGCTTTCCACTGTCCTGCTACTGTACCTTCTTTGCATACGTACTTGGGCGTTCCGATCAGTCCGTCCTTCGCTAGCCAACACCTGCAGCGATTGCTCATCCTTCTCAATCGCTTTGGATTTCGCAGACTCCAATGGGGCCTAAAAGAGTTTCAATGATGTTTTTGGGCTGACAGTTGTTACTAGCTGTTGGCCCCCAATCCCCCAGCGCAAGCGCTGGTTTCCTCCAAGGGTGAGGTGGGACTAGGGTAATCTTAATAACTATCTATTCCTAGACTTCAAATTCACTCTGTCAAATACAGAGCAGTCTTTTCAAAAGGAATGAGCTGCAACTGAGCTGCAGCTCCTTCACCAACTTCTTTCACAACCTCTTTGGTACGTAGCTTTCCACTGTCCTGCTACTGTACCTTCTTTGCATACGTACTTGGGCGTTCCGATCAGTCCGTCCTTCGCTAGCCAACACCTGCAGCGATTGCTCATCCTTCTCAATCGCTTTGGATTTCGCAGACTCCAATGGGGCCTAAAAGAGTTTCAATGATGTTTTTGGGCTGACAGTTGTTACTAGCTGTTGGCCCCCAATCCCCCAGCGCAAGCGCTGGTTTCCTCCAAGGGTGAGGTGGGACTAGGGTAATCTTAATAACTATCTATTCCTAGACTTCAAATTCACTCTGTCAAATACAGAGCAGTCTTTTCAAAAGGAATGAGCTGCAACTGAGCTGCAGCTCCTTCACCAACTTCTTTCACAACCTCTTTGGCACGTAGCTTTCCACTGTCCTGCTACTGTACCTTCTTTGCATACGTACTTGGGCGTTCCGATCAGTCCGTCCTTCGCTAGCCAACACCTGCAGTGCCTTCCAGCCAAAAAAACTTCGTCAATCTCATGAATCACACTCCGTTCAAGAACATAGCCCTCTTGTACATAGCATCGTAATGAACGAGCAGAAGTATCGTGATCTGCAATGTGACCTAGTTGAACATATAGATAGTTGGAGTTACAATTAAAGTAATATCCTATTTAGAGCAAAACATCATCAACAGAAAACCAGACGCTTCAAGCATAATTTCCTTGTTGGAAGGTGCCATTTCATTTGGTATGTCTCTACTCTTGTTGTTTGACTGCTGCCTGCTTCCGATGCGCCTCGCGGAGAGCTTGGCGCCATTCAAACGCCTCCTGCACCTTTGAGATCTTCGTTCCCTTGGGTCTACCACCCTTTGATCTCGGAGCCCATGTTGGGTCTGGTACCACCCTTTGATCTCGGAGCCCATGTTGGGTCTGGTACCACCCTTTGATCTCGGAGCCCATGTTGGGTCTGGTACCACCCTTTGATCCCGGAGACGGCGAATTGTCAGCTCCACTAAGTTTATTGGCAGTCTCACTCTCAAAGTACCTCATGTCTTTGAGCATCTTCCATGCATCGTAGAGCTTCCTTTTTGTGACGTCGAATTCCTTGAATTGGTGGTCATTGATTTTTTCTTCTTGTTCATGTAGACTGCGTAAGCCATATTCAATTGTCGGCACTGGTACCGGTAGGCTTTGCTCTCTATACTTCCATTAAGGAATCATTAAACTTGGAGTATTTGGCCTTGATGGAGTCATGGAGTTCGCTGGCGACTGTGTCACCATTTTTACCTTCAGGCATCATTGTTAGATGCAGAGTGGTTGTGTGTTGTCAAATTGAGATCACCGTCAATCGACTAGATGGAATAATCAAATTGACGGGCAGTACATTTTTTGTGTAAAAGGTCCGTAGAAAATTGACGGAGACCGTCAAATTTGGATTTTGGAGGTCCGTCAAATTCGAAATGACCGGAGAGCTTAAATAATTTTTCATGGCGAAGCGCAATTTCTATTCGATTGAGTCGATTTACGGTTGACGGCCTCGGCTGGAGATGCTCTGACTGCTGCTCGCTAAAAAGCTGTCGCGCCACGAGTCAGCCTGGTCAAAAGCGATGCAGCATGGTAATTTCGAAAACGAGGCGCGGATTTTAACATTGTGCTAGCAAAATGATCGACCCAACTACGTCCGATGATGACGATGGATCTGTTCAAATGTTTCCAGCAACTCGGAAGAAAGGTTCTGTTGTTGATGGGTTGGCTCGAAAAAAGGAGAAGTCTGGGACAACATCATCAAATCGCGGCAAGGCCGGAGATGCTGGATCATTTCATGACATTCTTGCTCAATCCATGGATGAAGCGCGCCGTGTCCAGGGGAACTTATCAAGCTCGAAACTACTAAGTGATACCATGAAGGAAATTGGAACAGCAGCGTCACAAACTGTGGCATCCATCAAAGAGTGGTCTGGAGGAGCTACAGGAAACCATCATCACGATCCACATGAACTTTGGAAGTACGCTGCCTCAAGTAGGGATGATGATGAAGATGACAACACCATTGGGACGTATGACACACTCCAAGAGGAAAACAACATGATTCGTCGCCTTGGTTCTTGGAATACAATCAATACAATGGAAACAACCGGTACCCTGGACACAGCAAACACTCAAGGGGAAACTCGGTTTGAAGATGATGATGGCAACATCATTGATCCAAAACTGCTGGAGAAAGCTAAAAAAGCAAGGGAAATGAGGAGACCAACCCGGGAAAAACTTGTAAAATTCGATTATCCTCCAGTGAAATCAATGAGACAGTTCCCAAGACATGACCCTGAAAACCTACCAAATCTATTCTTCACAGAGCAAGAGTTAGACCAAATTGAGTGCGATCGGTATTCAACAATGAGTACAGATGATATTGAAATTGTCGCAGTTACATCCAAGGATCTTGGGGGGAATGGGAATGGTTCAAAATTGAGAAGCAAAGAAAATAGGAGGAAAATGGAGGACAACAGAGACCCTGAAACTGGTTTAAAGTCAACGCGAGGGCGTGCATCAACTCCGATCAAACGTCGGATTGAAGATAGTGAAGGCAATCCTGATGACAATGAAGGGAATTCTGACGAAAACAACGAGAGTCGCCAGAGGGCAACGGCAAAGAATGAGCGCATGGTAAAGGGTGTCCAGATTTTTCTTCGGGAGAGGTCCATGGGCGTTTGAGTTTTATGTAGGCCACTGCCGTTGAATGTACCACTCATCAAGGTCGTTTTCAAGGATAACTATAGATGTATTTCGGCAGAAGGTGTTTTGCATGTATAGCGAATATTAAATTCTAGTGGTGGAAGAGACGGGTCCCTGTGAAGCACATGGCCATGCCGTACTCGTCGCAGGCTTCGGTGACCTGCTTATCTTGCACGCTGCCACCAGGTTGAGCAACAAACGAGACGCCTAACTTGGAGGCGTGGTCAATCGAATCTCTGAACGGGAAAAATGCGTCAGAACTAATACTCACCCCACTCGAACCCTTCATAAAATCAGCTTTTTCTTCTTCAGTCAAAATAGCTGGTGTCTCGGTGAAATGTTCTTCCCAGCGTGTCTTTTCTTCCGCGGTAAAGTCACCTTCGATGTAGCGTACCCTTGCGTTGACTCTGTCTTGTCTCTTAATACCCTCCTTGAATGGCAATGCCAGAACCTTGGGGTGCTGGCGCAAATACCATGTGGTTACTTTGCGTCCCGCCAATTTCACACAATCAACACGAGATTGTTGACCTGCCCCTACGCCTACCATCATACCATCTTTGGCGAACCCCACTGAATTCGATTGAGTGTACTTGATGCAAATCGATGCAACAATGAGATCACGAACAGCACCGTCACCAAGATTTGTAGTCGAAGTGACCACCTTCTGCATGTGGTCCTTTCCAATGATTACGTCGTTTCTCTTTTGGGAGAAAGTCATTCCGTAGACCTCTCTGTATTCAACATCTCCGGGATGATAATTTGGTGTGGCCTGCAATACAATGAACTTTCCAGCCTTCTTCGACTTCAGGATTTCAAGGGCCTCGGGAGTATATGATGGAGCAACGATACCATCGCTAATCTCCTTTTTCAAATACTTGGCAGTCGCCTCATCAACTTCGTCAGAGATGGCACAGAAATCACCAAAAGAACACATTGGATCGGCGTTACGGGCTCTCAGATATGCAAGTGCAGCAGGTGTCAGGGAAGTACGGGTTTCCTCGGTGACTTCGTAGGCTTTCGCCTCCGCATCAGTCAGTGATACAGCAACAGCTGCTCCGGCAGGACTAACGTGCTTGAATGAAGAAGCGGCAGCCAATCCAGTGGCCTGCTTCAGCTCCAAAACTAATTGCCAAGCATTCGCGGCATCTAGTAGGTTGATATATCCAGGAACTCCATTTTTAATCTCAAAAGGAAGATCACATCCCAGTCGAGAGGAAATGTAAGCTGGTTTCTGATGTGGATTGCATCCATACTTCAAGGGGAACTCGGGCTTGTATACGCGAGCAGTCACTGGAGCGTCGCTGGAAAGTTGGTTTGCAAACCATAAACTGATCGAGGAGTCATATGCTGCAGACAAAGCAAATGCTTGTGCTGCCAAGCCTTTGCGAAGGGCTAGAGAAGTTCCACCGTTTGTTTCGATCTCCTCTTGGATTTTTGAGTACTGTTCGGGAGACGTGACAATCGCGGTAAATGCGTGGTTTTTCGCAGTTGAACGAAGCATCGATGGACCACCAATATCGATATTCTCAATACACTGTTCAAAACCGGCACCTTTGGCTACAGTGGCCTCGAATGGGTACAGATTCAAAATAGTCATATCAATTGGTTTCATTCCTTGCTCGTCCATTTGCTTTTCATGTTGTTCATTTCCACGTACAGCCAACAATCCACCGTGTACCTTCGGGTGCAAGGTCTTCACACGTCCATCTAAACATTCGACAGCACCAGTGTAGTCGCTGACGTCTTGGACTTCGAGACCAGCTTCTCGCAACTTTTTGGCAGTGCCGCCAGTTGAAAGTCTGTTTCATTACGGCAATGAGAAAGCTTCGAACGTTAGTCGTGTGGTTTAACTCACTGGAACGATCGCCACAAGTGATCCATGAACTCACAGCTCAACTCCTTTCGAACTTAGGAAGCTACAAAACTCAACAATACCTGCCTTGTCCGATACACTGACCAAGGCACGACGGACAGGAACAATATCCACCTGTGATCCTTTGAAAAGAGGAGTAAGAAAGGATCCGAAGTGACCAACGAAAACTGAAAATGAGAGAGAAAACGTACCTTCAACAGCAGTTAGAATGTGGGCCATGATTTCAATCCAGAATATTTACTGAATGCCAAAATGCTGATACTGTGATGGAAGGAGAATTATCGGTTGGGTTTCAATTGATGATTGGTTGGTAGTTCTGGAATCTGGAATCTAGAAACGATCATCTTTTCGGTCTAGGTTACACACCTCGCGCAGCGATGACCCTGTGTATGGTACGTTATATATTAATACTTTCCAAAGCACGGCCAGCTTTTTTCCGCACTCCACACCCAAACTACAATTTGGGCGCGAAGCAGCAAGTCCATTGCCAAAACTCTTTTTTGCATCAAGCAAAATCATCGAATTGACTACCGCTTGTTGCTGGAAGATATTATTTCTATAGAGAGGCAAAGGGAACTGAACGAGAAGTCTTACTTAATCGCTATCGAGTTCTACGACCTAGTCCTCTCATTCCTGCTTTATCTTGCGACAGCAGCATGGCCCCAAACAAGGCGGGTGCAAATACGCCAGCTTCGTACATGCCCAACGTCCCCGTGGATCCCGAGCACGAGAAAAGAATCAAGGCAGAAGCCAGGGCTTATGCCTTGAGTGGCATCTCGTCTACGGCAAAGAGAAAATCGCCTAGCACAATACAGACTTCTGAACCTGGACCCATTCGCAAGGTTGCGAGACAAAGCAACGTGAGCATATCATCCATTTCATCTACGGTGAATCCGCAGAGAACAGACGCGATGCTCAATTATAGAGACGACCTAAAACCGAAAGCACAGGTCCCCGTAGTCGGTCCACCCAGGGTTACAACGTTTGAAGGGGACGAAGACTACGTCCTATTCGTGAAGAGCCTCAACCTGGACGACGCAATGTTTGCCGCAGCGGACAATGACGATGAGGAGTTTCAACTGTCAGATGTAGACGATGACGATGAGGACGATGATGAAAATGATTTGAGCGAAATGTACAACACTGATTTGCCAAGTACGACTGAAGTTGCAACATCAACTCCAACACTATCCTCCCCGTTGTCTTCGTCTCCTGTACAGCTTCCCGACTTTGAAGCCTCGATGTACCATGATTTAGAGGAAGAGCTTGGCAGTTTGCTCGAAGAGGACCTAGAGGCGGCTGTTCAATCACTCATGACGTCGAAGACAACAAATCCATCCAACGCAATCACACCCTCTTCACCAAGTTGCAAAAGCCCAGAAGTGACAATTAAGCCGCAGTGCACCAGGGCTCTTCCTGACACCAGAACAGATTCCCCAGCAACACCTTTGAGAGATGCTGCTCGTCAAGGTCCTAGAGCGCAGGTTACGTACCAGCAAACTCAACAATTGCGACATCTTCTCGCTCAGCACTATCAGCTTCTGGTACAACAGGCTATCTTGGGCATCCGGGCAGCACATTTTCAGAAGCTCGACAAGGAAAAGTCTGATTTTCTTTCAGGTGAAACCGCGGACGACTTGGCAGAAATCCTGGACGGGGCGGTTGGAATGCTTCAAGACCTAGATCAGAACCGAAAAGATGCAATCAGAAATTCCATACAGTTAGGTGACACTGTTTCCAAAAGTGACGATTCCACAATTTCGTTGCCAGGAAGAAGATCTCTTTTGTCAAAATTTGCGGAAACTTCCAATTCGTCACACCAAAATCAAAAGGATCGTCCGCTTACAAGATTGGCTTTTTCTCAATCTCTACAGCAGGGATCCAATTGGCCAAAGCGAACAACATTTGACATTCTCGGTCTAGTCAAGCTCAAGGAAACCTTTGCCACCATCGATAGGAGCGTGGCTGGAATCAAGAAGCCAGGGAGTATTCTTGAGCTTCCTACACACGGTGAGGCATGTCGGATGGTACTTCGACAAGCAGGGGCAAACATCGAAGAAATGCTCGTTCCTGGGGAAAGAAAAATAACAGACAATTTTTGTGACTGTGGAGAGTTTTTTGGCGAATTATTCAAGGAACCATGTAAAGACGAGCAAGATCTTTTCTTGCGAAGAAATCGGAACTTGTTTACTAGCGGTGAAGATAATTTGGTTTTGAGAGGCGTAAATTTGTACGGAGAGAAACAGTGGATTCTAATTGCTGACAGATATTTGCCAGATCGGTCGGTGAATATTATCTCTCAGCGCTATTCGAAATTGTGCGTGATGCTCTACAAGGCGCACGGCATAACTATTGATGAGAAGGGCTGTCTTGACGAACCTCCAAAGCTTGAATCCGTTGATGATATCGATGAGGCGAAAGTCAACGAGTTGGAACTCAAGACAGTTGATCCCCCAGCTATATTGAATGTCCATAGATGGTCCTTGGAGGAAGACTTGACACTTCTTAAGGCAGTACCATTAATGGGGCACATGTGGGCCGAACTAGGTGCTCGTTTGATTCCACACAGAGACCGTGGGCACCTACGCAAACGATACCAAGTCTTAGAACGAAGGGTCAAGGCAACCGTAGCACGAAACTCAAAGTGGGAAGCTGTTTCTTCCAAACCGTCAAAAGGACAAGGGTTAACGCGGAAACTATTCACTCCAGCTGCGGCATTGCGACCACCACCAACGAAGACTGGTGGCAAGCTTAGCAACGCGGTAGCTGCAACCAAGATTTCTGTTCAATTGAAGGTCCCGCGAATGAGCATAGAGAAAGCAGCAGCATCTCTGGCTTTTCTGCGTCCGCCAAAAGCCGACTCGGTATCTGTTTCAGCTTTGAAAAGTACCCCTTCCGTTCAATCTGCTGAGGTTGTAAATTATGATTCCGGAGCTCCGCTTTCTGCGTTACACTGCCTAAAACCACCTGCCGACACGTCGCGAAACGGGATAACAGCTGGAAGGATGAAACTGGCTCCTGTAGCCCAAGCCTCCACTTCCAAACAGCCATCTGCAAAACTTTCCACGCATTCGTCAAAACTTTCATTCATAGACACTAACTTTGGCAGCGAACTTTCTTCTTCACGGCTTGCGTTCGAGCAGCTAGTAGATGGTACCGGAGAAGAATGGTCGCAACTATCTCGGGTAAAGAAGATGCTTGAGAACGATCCTGCAAGCCAGCCTGACGATGTTATAGAAAACAGCCTGACAAAAAGTCCGATGCGCTCGAACTTATCAAAGCTACCTCAAATGGAGCTAGATTCTGATTCCATGAGCGGTTTGTCGATACTTCAGTCAGAAGCCTCTCGCCAGCACGACACTGAACCTCCCACTGTCGCTCGAGCAAGCATAATGTCTCGAGTTCTAGAGAGTTCTTCGAAGAATGAGGAGCATTCAAGACTTAATTCGAAGGAAATTGTCTCGAAAAGTGTAGCAAACAAAGCTGACCCCAATAAAAACACCCCGAAAAAGCAAGCTAGGCAAAAGCCCAACCCTGCGACTCCCTTGCCATCGACACCTAAGCGGCCAAACTTCTTCTCGATGACTGGTACTCCTATTGGACTGTCTCCTGGATTCCGACCTTCCCCGAACGGTGCATTGAATTCTATCAAAAACAAAAGTCTTCGTGCCTCAGGACTTCTTTCTCCACCTCCAAGTTCTGTTTCTCGCCTTGTAAATGATCAAAGCGTAGATGAGTTCAGATATTGTGACTTCAATATCTCGGAAGAAAGTCAACAGCGATTCGAAGGAGCGTCAAGGGACCAGCGGGCAAATGTTCCCTCTACACCATCGAAATCAACAGCTTTTGGTGAACATCTCATGGCGAATGATCTTGATGCAATATCGGCACTAAGCGCGTTGAGTAACTCCCCTTTCAAGAAAGGCTTGGAACGTAGAGATATGAAGAGGAAAGAAGTGAAACAATCCTTTTTCGCTACCGTTGTTGGAGGAACAAAAAAAACTGAGCGACAGGGTTCATATCCGAAACACAAGTTAGACTTCTGAATGTCAACTGCATTGTGATTTAAAATTGCTATCTTGCATGCGCTCTTCCAAGCTTTCTCGACTATTGTTTGGAATGGGACATTTTCCCAGGTCTGATCTGAACTTGAGTCTGATTGACTTTTGGAAGAATGGGTTGTTCCACCTGAAATTGTTTATTTGTGAAGAGCGTTATTGTTGTTCAGAGGAACTTGCAAATCAGAGAAATCGAAGAGTATTGGACCAATTCCCTTCCTATTGTCCGACCCGCAAAGTAACAGCTATGATTTTCATATATCAAGACAGGAAGTTTGTGTTTTGTTTTGTCATGACACATCAAATCAGTAGTCCTAGACAACATTTCTTAGTTTTTTAATAAGGTGCTGTTCTCTTCGTACCGTTGCGCAACGATGAGCTACACTTTTGTATCAGGATGCTCTTTTTGGGTTCATCACCTTGAGTCTAGACAAATGGAGAATGGAGACAACGTTTCGGTTTGAAACGGTCAAGGACACGCACGGCTTGCTTTTGATCTAAAATTTTCATGTCTGTATATAATTTTGCAAATAAGGATCTAGATTAGTCCAACTACCGGAACGTCGTGCTCCGAATCATTCTCTGCCCAGGTCATCGCCACTGTCATCAAACTTGTAGAGTGAAGGATTGAAAAGACAAACATGGCCGCTCGAGTAGATGAGGAATATGATTATTTGTTCAAGATTGTTTTGATTGGTGACTCAGGGGTTGGAAAATCCAACTTGCTCTCTCGTTTCACACGCAATGAATTCAATTTAGAATCGAAGTCCACCATCGGAGTTGAATTTGCAACAAAATCCATTCAAGCTGAAGGAAAAACCATCAAGGCCCAAATTTGGGATACTGCAGGTCAAGAACGTTACCGTGCCATCACATCAGCTTATTATAGAGGAGCCGTTGGTGCCTTGCTTGTGTATGACATCTCGAAACACGGAACTTTTGAGAATGTTGAACGTTGGTTGAAAGAATTGCGTGATCATGCGGAAGCAAACATTGTAGTTATGCTTGTGGGAAACAAAAGCGATTTGCGTCATCTCCGTGCAGTGGAGACGGATGAGGCGATGGCGTTCTCTGAACAGCACAATCTTGCATTCATTGAAACCTCTGCTTTGGATGCTAGCGGAGTAGACACTGCTTTCCAGAGAATCCTGACCGAAATTTACAGGTTGATGTCCCGCCGGAATGTTGCCGCGGAGGAAGCTGCAAATCAACCTTCTTTGACTGCAGGAAAAACCATTAGTTTGAGCCAAGACAGCAACCAGAAGAAGGGGTGCTGCGCGTCTGTTTAAAAAAAGAATAAAATATTTTTTAGCACACCTTGTATCTTTCTGAGTGGAGAGAAATACTACCATGACAGAACTACTGAAATAAGCCATATGCCATCCAACTAATTTTTCGAAATCTGATTTTCGGAACTCAACAAATAGACAAGACGGACCAATAGACAGATTGATAGCGTAAATATTAGTTTAGGAATCTTCTTTCGCCTGTTTTGCGGCAACCCGGTCAATCTTTTCTTTGATGGACTGCGCTTTGCGAAATTCCAACTCCTGCTCTGCATCTGCACCAAGACCGACAAAAGTTGGAGGACTGTGTGTTGTGAGGGATGCAATCCAAGAGAAGCATTCTTCTTTGGATGTTCCCTCTGGCAATGTTGGTGCATCTGGTAGACCAACCACAAGTTGAAAACCTAAGTTGAAACTCTCAGGGACAAAGAGGTCGTTTACGAGCTTGTCCAATGCATCTTGATCGACAGGCTGGGTCACACGACCACCGAAGACACCCTTTCTGAGAGTGGATCGGATGGCATCCCAAGGAAGTTTTTCTGGATCAAGTGCATCAGCCTCACTACTCATATCCTTGATAAGAGCATCAATTACATCCAATGCATGAGTAGAATCAGCTTCAGTAAATTCATACTTTTCAGACCACCCTTGTGGGACATAGCGCAACCTTTCTTGAATGACAGCATGGGTCCATGCCAATAGCAAGTAAAGTCGATTTCGGACAGGACTGTCAAAACGATTATGTGAAATGCTGGAAAAAAATCTAGTGATGGATGCCTTGAGACCAGTTGGAGCTTCAGCAACAATTGTGTCACTCAATCTCAATAAAGCGGTAGGAAGCTTGGGATTGATTTCACAGGTAATAAAGAGACGAAAGTCAGGGTGCGTGTTCTGCCCCAAGGACTGCAGCCTCTTCACGAACGTTTCTTGAAGCCAGTCTGTGCACAGGTGGCAATTTTTCAGCATCAACCAAGATCCACGTTTTGATGCTGCACTGAACAGGGAATCGACACTCTCAAATCCTTCGGAACTTCCCATTGCGATTGAAGAAAGTTCTTTCTGGAACTCTCGGGCCATGGCTTCGATTCTCCCACTAACATCGTGTCCCGGAGCGCTGCACAACATAAGAGGAACTGTTGGTCCTAGCTCTTTCTCTGTGACATTCATGAGCTCATTCAGGCCACGACCTTGCCAGGGGAAATCGTCCCCAAGAGCAGTGATTTCATTGATATAAACGTTAGGAGAGATTGCATCTTGTGTACCCATTGATTCGTCACCAGTGAACAAACGTCCCAACAGCAAAGCAAATACAACTTTGTCGTCAGCCTTCAACCCACGTGCCACTCGAGCACAAATCTCGTTAAAGAAAGCTTGTTTCAAGGCTCCAATTCTCACTGTTTCATCTTCAGAGCCCGACTTCTGCGCATTTTGCAAAACATCTTCAAGAATAACCATGAATGCTGTAGAACTAAACTCGTATAGGAAGTTGATGTCACGAAGTGCTCCAAGCAGAATGAAAACCTTTCGACAGAAAACTGCAAATGGTTCAAAACGAGAAACTGCCAGATGCACTTGCGTCATTACCTCTTCGCTACGCGCAATTTGCTCTTCTACTTGAGATCCTTCTTTCATCAGTACTTCCATACCAGCAACAACTTGATCATCATCGAGGATACTCCCTTCACATGCACTGATCTTTGCGAGCATCTGATCTTCGAGCTCTCGGAGCTTGACATTTTGTTCTCCTTGAAGCTTCAGTAAAGACGCTCGTTGGGATTCAAGTTCCGGCTTCTCGCATCGTACGACATGACTCAAACTCTGGCTTTGTAGACTTGCAGGTGTCACGGTGAAATTCACCAGCGTAACGCGCGAGCAGATGTCAGGTGTTAGCTTAACAGCTGGATTTTTGGTACTCAAAATGATTTTGAATCTTGGACTGTAATCAATCTCTTCTGTTCCAATTCTGACCAGTGTCCTGCCGCCTGTTCGTTGCAATTCTTTGTTCAAAAGTGGATTCAGAATTGGATCGATATGCTCGACATTCTCCACCAATAGAGCTGTTCCAAAACGAACAGCACCTGCTAGTGTCTTCATAAAAGCTTTATCCAAAAAACTGGTCTTCTGGATTTTGTCATCTTGGTACTTCTTCATCAAGAATGAAATGGCCTGGCCAGAGGGATCAATGACCAATGGGAATCTCACACAATCGTCCAAAATGACTCCATTCTCAAGGCTCAACTGGTCGGCAGGAAGCCCTTCTGCTTGCCAGGCAAGCCGAGTAGAGGCTTTGCTCAAAGATTCAACAACGCCAAGATCTTCGCGATGTTCGATTCCAAGAATATCAAGAGTGTTCTTCCATTTTGCCATCATCAGCGATCTGATTTTGAAGTCAAAGAAACCAGCATAGGTAAGGAACGCAGCCATCAACAAACCGTCCCCAACCAAACTTCTCATAATAGTTTGGAATCCTTCAGAACTCTTTTGCCAACGCTCACTCTCATGACCAAGTGATTTCAAAAGACTCTCTGCCCTATCAACCTTTGTAGTCACTGTTCCCATTTCTCCTTTCAGAGCTTCGACGTCTCTGATCAAAAGGGCGTAGTCAGACTTGTATTGAGCAATAGATGTCTCAAGTGAATTGACTTCACTTTCTACCGTCTCAAGCTTTTCCTTCACCACCGTAGAATCATTCTCTAGCTGCTCGACTTCATCTCGAAGAGGCTGGATACGATTGTAGACGGTTGAATACTTGATCTGCGATTCAGCCCACATATAAAGTGGTCCACAAGCTTTGCTACTCCGCATCACGGTTTGCGTTGTAAGCTCAGGATTGCCCCCAAGATACTTCTCTTGCACCAGTTGGATTTGCTTCGAAGACAGCTTGTCAGCATCAAAGTTCAAAATATTGGTAATGAAATCACTCTTGCTCAAAAGCTTTCGGACATCAGTCCATTCTGTCCTTTTTTCTCCAAGCATAATTGCAACACACTCCAATGTAAGCTTCACATTATTTGGCGGACGTGCAAGATTGCGGACTTCGTCCAGGTCGCGTTTTTTTATGCCTCGGACACTCTGTTGAGCGCTTCTCAAGGCTGGTTCTGCTTCATCTAAATCGCGCTGCGCTTCACTTTTTCGCTTGTCAATTTCTATCTGCTGCTTTTTGACTTCTGTACTCATCTTTTCAGCCTCTGCTTTTCTCTTCTCTGCAATGTTTTGATCTGCAACCATCTGTTGAAGTTTTTCGTTCGCAAGAGTTTCCTTTTCCTTCAGCTCTCTAGTCTTTGCTCCGAGACTCAGCTTCAATTCGGCAACATTTTCTTGTGTCTGTCGCAGCTTTTCTAAGCCGGCATTCACATGAAGCTGCTCATCTTCGACTTCTTCTCGGCGTTTGTTCAAGCAGGTCACGAAGTTTTTTATTAACGTGAGGTAATCTCGAGGGGACAAGTATGTACGAGTGATACTGCTTGGTTCTGCCGCTGCAGACTCCGCCGTTGTCTTTGCGATCTTGTGGATGTCCACCAGTGCTGCTACAACTGCTTGTCTAAGCCCTCCCTCATTTGCACCCTCAAACACTGCTGCTACTCTTTCCATCAACGATTCGCCTTCCCCGATGCCCCAAGAGCCACCAATTGATTCCGCATCACCCATATCGAGTCTCAAGGTGAACTCTTTTCCAACTTCACCCATTGCCTTACTTCCCCATGTTCCAAACCAGTCAACAACACATCGATTGAAAAGAGCTGGACTTGTAGTTGAACGGTTCTTCCAATCCCCTCCACTGGGATTAATTGTAAAAACAACATGCAGATTGCGCTGAACAATACCGGTGAAGCGGCGATAGAGTTCCTCATCACTATCAAGGATAACACCATCGCGCGCGGCACTGTCACGACAAGCATTCATCAAAGCGTTGTACTCATCACCTTCAAAAAGACCGGGAACTTCTCCGCTTGCTAGCAAAGCGTTCATGGCCTCGAGAAAGCCAGAACTTAAGACATTGGCCTCGTCAAATATGAAACAGATTTTCTCGCCATCAACACCAACACGTCTCATGACTGTTCGAAGATCTTCATTGAAATCATCCATTCCATACCTCGAGTGTGCCTTGATCTGAAATATATTCAAGCCGTTCATCCAGCTAACGAATTTACTCAAAACAGTCTTTCCCGCCCCAGAGTCGCCACAGAGCAGCAAGTGGCCCATTGGCTGACGGAGAACTCGGTCGATGCGAAGGATATGCTCAAGAACTTCATCAAAAATTACAAGTGGGACGTCTAGCTCCTCTTCATAGAAAACTCTCAATCTGGCAGCGAGGAACTCTTTCAATTCCTCACGCTCAACTTTTCTCGTTTCTTTGCTGAGCCAAGAAGTATAGAATAATGGCCGCTTTAACGCAACATCGAAGTCAACACCTGCAAACCACTTCTGTGCAACCTCGTCAATCTTATTGTGGCACCAAACACGGTCGTCTTCAAGCACCAAGCGGTCGCAGAACAACCGAAGACCTTCGTGTGCCCAAATTCTGGTTAACTCTTCTCTTGTTACTCCTTGATCCATGTTTACAATGGCTTCATAGATTCCTCTTACCCATCTGCTTAATTCTCTAGGCGAGTAGAAGTATTGGGGCTGTATGCTAGGATTGAATCTCTTCTGATTTTCTGTGTAGACTTCCACCATAGCTTCTGTCATGGGGTCAGTTTCCCCCTTCAAGTTCGGGAACAACTTCATCATTCCACCATTGAAGGTTCGATAAATTTGCATCAGGGAATCCTTCTCAGGGAAATCAACCAACAACAAAGGAACATGTCTCAAGAAGCGGTGAGACATCTCCACTCGGCCTGCGTCTGTTGGTGGGTTACAAGCGCCAACAAATTGAATTCGATTGATCTTAACCCACACGTTGTCCTCGCGCCAGAAACCACCCTGTTCAACGAGTTGCCGCATGAACATGATCACTTTCTGAGTTCCATATGAATCCTCTTCAGGAAGATTGATTTCATCACAGAAAACAACCAACCAGCTTTGCGCCCCAAGACTCTCAGCTGGCTCCAGGATGATATCCTTTCCTCTCCGCACGTACTTGCAGTACTGGTGAAATACCTTCAGAATGATCTCAGGTGTTGTACGACTCGAAAAGTTCAGGCTTGCAAGCACAGCTCCCTGCACAGATTGAAGAACACTTGTTAGGGTCATTGTTTTACCAGATCCAGGGGGACCACAGAGGACAAGCGGTATCCGGCTATCGAGCCAAGCTCCAAGAATATCAGAATGTCTGACTGTGTCTGTGGTTGTAATTACAACGTCCGTTGAGGAAACTCGGTGACTCTCAATTTCCATTCTTGGAACGCTTTCACTCCAAAGCTCGTATTCTCCGTTTTCCACTCTGACACGATAGTCAACAAGACTGTATTCCTCATTTGGGAGCATGACACCACTTGCTCGCAAGAGCAAATCACCAAATTTTTTTCGAATCTCCCACGATGAACTTCCAGCAAACGCCCACATGAGGGAATGAAGCAGCCATCCCTTCGCAAACTTTTCCATGTGATCCCCAGTCATTGGAAAATCTGGGTGATTCTCGTCATAGGCGATAGCAAGACCAATGCCTTGAATGAGCAGAGCCCTGAACGTATTCAGTAAACGCTCACGACTTGGCTCCATGACGTGATCAGTTCCCATCGCAAAGTCTAAGGCCTCCAAGACGACTGACCGAGAAGAATCCGAAAGTACAAGTGGACGAATGGCATCCAGGAAGTGCGTTTGGGCGGCTGGGATCTCTTTGTCGCCGCCTCTATCACCTGTAAGATCGTCTTTCAACAGCCTCGCCAAGAGGTGCTCTAAGCTCATTTCAGCAGTGACAGTATCCTCGCTGAACCATACCATGCCACATCGCGACACAGTTGCTGGAGTTGCAAACTCTAGACTATCCACCTCTAGAATGATCCTCATGTTGTTTGGAATGCCCAGACGCTCACCACTGGGTAATGTCAGTATTTTGTTATCATCAAGCACACTGTTTCATTTTGTTTCATGTTAGTACGTCGGGGTCAAAAATTGTCAACAGATCCAAAAACTCACCTATTCAAGTTCTCTGCCCATTCTGGGTCGACATCTCCATCAAATACGACCCAATGCCTTCTCTCAGATTCACCTTTTTGATTATCTATGATGCGTCTGAGTAAACTAGTGAAAACGCCATCTGTCCACTCCAACGTTGTTCCGTCAAGACTTCCATACAAGTGTTCTTTGTTGATCGCCTTCGGGTCAATTCTGTACATGTCACCTTTGGTGCCGTCAACACGCTCTAGAGCCTCAAGCAAAACATCGAGTGCCGTAGACTTGCCCACACCACAAGGTCCAACGACCATAATCCCGTGTCGCATTTCTATGACTTGGTTCAATTGGAGTACTTTTTGAACAAAACTGTCAGAAGGAGAATAACCCTTCTCTTCACAAATCTTCAACATTTCAGCCTTGATTTTCTCATCATCCATCTTGGATACTTCTGAGCCAGGGAACACTTCCTCAAGCACATCCTTGAAAATCACCATATCTTCAGCAATCAATTTTGGAAGGACATTGTTGCAGGCGCCAACGATGATAGCCTTCCTTTCTTCGTCAGCCAAGGACTCCTCTTCGAGCTCTCCTTTTCCATCTATTGCCTGCCGTTTCAACGCTCCAGCAGACACGAGTAAAGTCTTCAGCGCACGGAGACCAAAATCATAGTGTCGCTGCTTCGACATTCTATCTTCGCAGAGAAGGAACAAATCAACTACCTTTGGAGCTAGCAACTCGGCTGTGACAATCCCCTGACTGTAAAGCATGACTTGCGCAATCAGCTTTCTGTCAGGCACGACCATAGCAACGGAGCGAAAGAGCGATTTCAAGTTATCTGGAAGGTTGCTTCGTCCAGCATACCCAGGATTCATGGTGATGAATGTTGCAACGTCTGAGTTCAATTTGATCGAACGTCCAAGAAGGTCAATGTGCGACTGCCGATCTAGGAGGCCACGTTGAATAGATAAGATTTGCTGACTGACAGCTGATAAAATTCTTTCTTCCAATCGGTTGAATTCATCAAAGCAACCCCAGGCTCCAACCTGGCAGAGCCCGGCAAAAAGTCGACCCATTGCGCTGAAATCGAAAGTCTCGTCACAATTGAAAACTAAAACGAATCTCCCCAACTGCGCGCCAAGAGCCTTAACAGTCTCAGTCTTACCAGTACCAGCTGGACCAAAGGGACTCCCACCCATTCTGAAGTGTAGCGCTTGGGTCAGAGTCAAATAAGCTTTGTCTGTAAGAGGAGTTTGAACAAGTCGCTCTCCAATTCCTAGATACTCGAAACCATAATAAAACTTGGCATTAGAAAGAGAAATCATCAACTTCTCAGTCACTTTAGGTGCAGAAGGATTGTATGTGTATCGAAGATGGTACAGCCAGCGGAAATCTGTTGGGCTTTCCACCTGTTCGTTCATCAAATCCCTTACTACATCTCTTTGATGAACCAATTCAGTGATCATCTGTTCGAACTTCTTTCGCGATTCTGGTGGCAATTCCTTGAGCACAGTTTCGGCCATGACCTCGAGCTTCCATTCGAGCTTCGCCAGATTTTGCTTCAGTGACTCGTTGCTGTTTTTGCTGTGTAACGCCTCGTCGACTCCCATACTCCAGTTGATTTGAGTTGCAAGAATCATCACTTGTGCTGGGAATTTTGTTGCCCATTCCACAAACTGTTTCTTGTCTTCATCCCCGAACGATAGACCCGATGATGAGTCTTCAGAGACAGCTTGTTCGAGAAGAAGCGCCAACGTCAGTTTCATCTTTTCTTCCAGCTCATTCAGCCACTGTTTCACTTTAGAGCCCTGCATAACCTCGATGGGCTCGTTGAAGGGAACAATTTCTCCATCTTTGCTGACCATTGCATCTAGACGTGCAATCATGTCCTCTGGCATGTTCTCCCTGTTATACCTTGCACCTGCAATCCCAGCAAACATTTTCGAAACATGTGTGAGAACCTTCACTGGCTCATTTCCATTTCCCATGATTTCGAGAAGATCGTCATCACCCAAGAAATAAAATCTTGAAAAATCACGGCGCTGCTTTTCCAAATATTCTCCGAGGGCTCTTTGGATCACACCCATCAGGTTGCCTAGCCGTTCAAGAGAACGCTGCAGATTTTCAATATTGAGAACCTCCATAGCGTACGGCCGGCCTGCAATGCGTCTCATCAGTGTAATAAATTCTGAATCAACACTTTTGAAACGTGACCACTCTGCGGGGAGCTGGGCTTTGATGTCAGAACTACCAAAAAGAATTCCTTCCAAATAGACCCATCGTCTTTGCACATCGATCCAAGCATCAAACGCCTCGCGAAGCTTCGTCAACCGATCTTCCCAAAGTTTGCCCTCTTCCTGAAATTCTCTGACAGAGCGATAGTACGGAGAGCTTTTCATCAAAGCCAACCCACCAATGTGATCATCTAGAGTAGCAAAAAGATCGTCCCAGCCTCGAATCAAGCGCACACGGTTTTGAAAAAGGACCAGTTCTAACTCTTGTTTCATCCAACGATCACGAACTTGGCCCAAAAAGACTTCAAGCGCCATTTCGCCTTGTGCGACAGTCAAGATTTCATCAATGTCTTTCTTCCTTGCCAAAACCCCTGTGTCCCAGAGATCGCCAACAGTGAGTTCAGAAAAGAGACTTGTAATGCCGAGGCGCTTCAGAATTGTTTTCCAGTGGCGATCCTTGAGCGCTTCTGTTTTCAAGTCAGATAGAACACTATGACCACTAATGAAACCTTTCACTTGATCATGCATGTGGGTGTAAGCATCATATTGTCGAATACGGTTTGGCAAAGATCTCATCTCGGCAAGGAGATCATCAAGTGCCCGTCTGATCTTGCGCATTACAGCTGTTGACCAAGGGATCTCCTTAATCTCCTGTAACTTATCATGCGGCTTCATCACAGCTTCCCAAACCTCCTTCAAAGCCAAAAGTTCCTCAAGGCATTCGGAAATGGCGTTGCTTTCCGCAGTATGTTCTAGACCGAGTGCATCTTTAGCCTTTACCAGGTTCTCTTGATGTGTCTTAGCTTTGTTCAAATTAAATTCAAACTTAGCAAGCATACCCATCGCCTCGGACGGCGGCATGTTGCCTCTTAGTGGCTTGTCCTTGCCCCATTCTGAAATGAGCTCGAGGGCTCTTTTCGCAGCTGACTTCTCCTCTGCGGATATACGAGCCTGGAGCAATGGGTACTGCTGCTCCATAGTCTGACTTCGACGCTCCAATATTTGTTGCATCAGATCGAATTGACCCTTCACCATAGTCGTTTCCATCCAATCGCTCCGGAAGTGATGCCGTTGCTTCTTCAGCAAACGTTCGGAGGATTCCAAGCGTGCAATTTCTTCAATCCAAGACAGCTTCTTTTCTTTCATTTCTTCTATGAAAAAAACACCCATAACAATATTCTCGGTTCCACTTGAGCTTTCCAATGACGCAGCCTCGAGTTTACTCTTTGCATCAATCATCCGGTCGTGAGCGTCAGCAATACACTGCGAAAGGATTGTTGCAAATGATGACTGCAGTTCCTTTTGCCACGAATCATACTTTAGGTTGATTTGAGATTGCACTTTGTTGTATTTGACTGCAACAGGCCCAAACTCCGCAAAAGTTGCAGACAAGTCAAGTGCTGAACGTGCTTCTGCAGACTCCAGCAACAAAGCTTGCCATTTTTCGATATCAGTTCCAACAGATGCTGCAACATCAGAAACTTGCGTATCCCACAAGGTTTGGTATGCTAACCACTGATCGATGAAATCAGCGATATCAACGATGCGTTCTTCAATTCGCCCATAAGCCTGGGCTACAACCTTTGATGGGACCATGTGAATTAGGCGGTCGAAGCTTTCGTCATCGACAGGTCCAACGTAAGCCGTTGCAGTGTTGTCGAAGACCTCGAAACGCCCGCTTTGAGGTCTTGGTAAGTTGCACACAATGCCAATGAAATCATGGAGCTTGTTCAGGAACAAGGACCTTACTGTTGGTACAGCAGGAACTGCTGAAATCTCTTGATTGCGAAGAAGAATTTCGACTGAGATTGTAGGAATGGAAACAGTTTCCATTTTGCTAGGCATCGTTGTCTCAGGATCCTCGTTGCCTTCAGGTTGTGAATCACTGAATAAGTAGTTCCAGCTCTCAAGCGCTGTCTCAAGCCTAGCTGCAAGCACAACAGCAAGTCTCTCGTCCAACACCTTCACCCAGGATGCTAAATCAGAATATCCACTCAAAGACATTTCATCAATCGATCTCTGTATGTTCTCTATAACAGTTTTGAGTTTTGCTGGGTCATATTCGACGATTTCCAAGGACTTCAATGCTGCATCCACCTTGTCGCATGTTTGAAGCAACTGTTCGACGCGTTCTTCAAGCTTTGTGATCGAATCAGATAGCCTCGAAACCCATTCCGAAAGCTCTCTAGAGTCCCAGCGGATGCGACGTTTCTTGGCAATCGCCTTCGAAGTATCGAGTTTTACATCAAACGCTTCGGAGACAATCTCACGCACGTCCAAAAGCTGTGGCATAACAAGTGGTTCCAATTCAGGAGATATGAGTCTCCGCACTGATTGATAACTACGCAATGCAGTCTTGATTGCCATGGCAAAGGGGTATCGAGTGATGGCGTCTTCGCTGACCATTGTCAGAGTACGTGGAACGTCACGTTCGAATCCTAACCACTTTAGGTGCCTGATCTCCTTGAATAATAATTCGGACTTCTCGTCAAAATTCACCTTTGCAAACAACATGTTCTCCCTATCCAGCTCGATGACAACAGGAAATGAGTGCAATCTGGAACTAGCCTGATTTGTAAGCTCCTTCTCCCATTCCGTAATCCAAGAACGGAAAAAGCTTTTGGCATCCAACTTTGCCAACAACTCGTCCCCAGATTTTCTCAATTGGCGTCCCTCAAGGTGCTGACCCCAGTTAGGGCCAAGAACATTTCCCATTCGATCCATTAAGGCATTGACTTGGCGTTCCATTTGCTTTGCCCAAAGAATTTTTCCTGCAATCGGAGGGATACCACGAAGGCGAGAGATTCGAGCAGCTGACGAGGACTCATATTTCAAAGTAAACTTTGACTGCAGCTTTTCAACAGCCTGGGCAACGGTCGCAATAAGTTGCATCTGAAACTCTTTCACGGCAACACGAACGCGAGTTCGAGTCAATAGAAGCTTGAATCTCGCAAACACCCGGAACATATCTTCGGCATCTTGGCACGCCGTTAGCTTGTCACGCAACAGACGGGCGAGGCGCTCTTCCATAGCATCCATCTGTATGTCGTACTCCTCTAGAGCTGCCTCCATGGCCTTTGAACCGCCAGCAGACAGGTCTAGAACGTTGAGAGTCGAAAAGATATGACGAGGAGTCGACTCAACAGTTTGAATGGCACCTTGTTCGTCTTCTTCGTCTTGTAGCACCTGGAGAACAACTTCCCGAAGACGCTCGTGGTTAGCCCGAAAGTTGTGAATTTGGTCGAGACGATTCGAAAGTGGGAGGTGATGAAGCTCGATGTTGTCCAAAAGTTTGGCTGGACTTGCAATCTTTCGGCGGCGTCCTTGCTCAAGGAAGAAGTCTTTGAACTGCTCCCATCTATCCTCAAATTGTACAAAGATATCCTGAGTGGGATATCGCACTTTTGACTCGTACTCTTTGTAATCCATGAACAAGAAGTTGCTGTATTGCTCTTGTAAGATACCATCGATGGCACGTCGAAGAGTGAGGGTAGTCGCCTCCAAGAGGCGAGCACTTCGTTCGAGCGAATAGTATCGAGACTGACGGATCTTTGGTAGATGATCAAAAATTGAATTCGTAACTTGTGAGATTTTCTCGAAGTCTCTTGCTGCTTGGAACTCTACCACAGGATAGCTCTTCAGGAAGTGTTCAACGTCCTGTGCGTAGCTGACGGCTTGTTCCAACCCAGTGTTGTTCTCCAGTGCAAGAGTGGCCACAAAACGCTTCGCTTCTCTAAGCAGTGCCAATGTTACCTCAACTCCTGGACTCGCTAGCTGACGCTGAATACTTTGCAATTCTTGATGCAATTGATTCCAAAATGCAATTTCTTCGAGATCAGCATTTGTTTCTTCTGCAATCATCGGAAATGGCGTCGTTTTCGGGAGGACTGTGAGCTTCCGAATTTGCGTAATCCACTGAGATACCCCGGATTGAAGACGATTTAGAGCATCATCATCCGTAAGGTGGGCGGCCAATCCGAGTTCCTGCCAGTCCAAGTTCTTGGATCCAGAAACCGTCGAAGCTACGAGTTCGATTTCAGCGTCAACTTGGAGTTGGACGTGGGGTAGCCTTGCACTACGCTGTGATTGCCCAATAGCAACATCTAGCTCTCGAATCTTATCTTGCAAGACTGCGGTGTCGCTACCTTGTTTGACGGCAGGCAAAAAGAGGTGACGCGTGTAGAGTTGAAGTGCGTGAAGGACAGTGGATTGCGATGTGCCAAATGCATCTGCTTCGTCCTCGTCGGTGGAGGATTCATCGGAAGAGACCAAACTTGGCTGCAAAGTGACGCACTGCATAGGCTTTGATGCGCCCCCAGCTTCTCCATCGTCCTCCGATGGACCTCCAAGAAATGCCACAGCAGCTTTATGCTTATCTGGCAAGACATCGCCCACCATCGCAATACCTTCAGTGGTATCAATCCATACAAATAGGCAAGGTGACTTTCCTAGGAAGATTTCAACGGCATCTTTGCTTGGACTCGAGCCCAAGTGGACATCACAAGCCATCCTTCATGACAAAACAATTGGAAAAAGTTGAGGGACAAATTGAGCCTATTTCTTGACAGGGAGGCATATTTCATAACCTGCTAACATACCGAATGTATTCTAGCGGATTTTGGGAAAAGCCTGCCATGAGAGAGCTGCTTGATTTGTATTCAGGTGCACTTCGATCTCTAGAGCAATGCTCTGTGAACAGTACAGTACCTGGTACCAGTACAGCTCGGAAGATGATGACTTCGTTCCTGGCTCGTCCGTCGCCTCCACTGACTGGCACGCGCGCTTGTTTCCAATAAGTCGGAACCAGAGACCCAACTATTAATCGGTATAAGTACGTTAAATTGAGTAGCGAGGTGTACGAGAGATTCGGGACGAAAACAAGTACGATGACAAACATGGGGATTTTACAAGATGTGTGCGAATCTCTAGGTTAAACTATCTAAACGTACGAATGACGGACACTCTCTGGTCCAATTAACGGTCCCCTCAAGGTGATACTGATGTAGCAGAGAACCTTGTACTCCAAATTGGGCTAATATCAACCGTACCCCCTCTTGGGAGGACGTATCATCCAATACTGTCCAAGACTGACAATATCCGGCGACGGATGAAGACGTTTCCAAAAATTAAATTAGAAGAGCAAGTTTTCCATTTCGCTTTGCTTTCCACATGATGTTTTCCATAAGACGGTCACGAACGGTTCCAGGTTGAATCTTGGTTAAAACGTCGGCCAAGTTCTCAGCGGAAATTATCCATTCAATTCGTAGGATATCAATTGCGCATCTGGAGCGAACGTAGTGATATGCGACAGCGTTCGATTTCTTCTTCAATTGAGATTCAGGAACACTTGAGTTCTTGACAACGGACATATTGTCAACACAAGTATGACAATAACCTTGGATTGGGACGCCCATCATTCTGAGCTTGAATCGTAGTCCCTCAAGTAATTCAACACCTGTCTTTAGAGCAGCAAATTCAGAACCAAAACTGCTTGTTTCGACACTGTTTTGCTTTTTCGAATACTAGATGATAGGAGCTTTGTTAACAAAGATCAATACTCCTGTTCTTGATTGACGAGTAACAACGTTAGCAGCATGAGATGCATCAACAAACATAGTGAACTCTACCGCTTTGCCAAGAGGTGTAGGCATGTCACTTGGGAGTTCATCCTTAGTGAACTCATAGAACTGTGAGTAATCAGCTTTCTTTAATGGTCTAAGATGATCAGCATAACCACAATCCATCACAAGTACACGATCAGGATGCTTCTGTAAATAGGCAAAAATATGTAAGGCAGCATGAAAGTGACCTTCACGAGGCATGACATTGTAAGACGAGAGCATAGACACTTTGGCAGCGACATCGATACGACCAAGTTCCACAAGCCAGTGCAGAATACCGATGAGTTGCATGTAGAAAATAGCAGTATCATCATCGACAAAAGGAGTAGAATCAAGTTCCGGCTTGTATCCAGTGGGTAAAGTTGAGTAAACCTTTTTCTTCAAAGTCAGTTGCATTGGCGCAATTTGTTTCTTGACAACTTGTAATGACTCTTGTAGATACGCTTCAGATCCAATAGCCCAGGTGAAATAATCATCACTGTCCAACTTGTGCTTCGAGATTGTTGCACCAAGATATGTGGTTGGCTCTTTTATCGAGTCAGGCTTTAAAACAAAGAAATTGTTGAGTTTGTCCATAATCGCTTTTGGATTCTCCGAGATTGCAATGACATCATCAGTATAAACCAAAATATACTCATAATACTTCGAACCATCTTTGCGTTGACAAGGACCACGCCAAACATCCATGTCTCCACGACATGGTTGGAACTCCAATTGTTCCTTCAAAACGTCTGCACAGAGGCTCCTCCATGCGAATCCCAAACTTTTGAGTCCGTAAACGGCCTTAACCAGGATAGCTTTCTTCCCGGCATACTATCCAAACTCCTTCCCTAAAATACAATAAACTTTCTCGGCACATTTGGCATTCAGATATGCACCGGAGACGTCAGCACTCAAAACAGTCAAACCATTCAAAGCAGCAATAACAAAAATAATAATAATAACTGAGACATTAATCGTTAAAATGCTACTCTATGGGCATTCGATTGCCGGTGAAATATTCGGCTGTAAAGGTCAAGTACTGTGAAGCGGTGAGTCAACAACAAGTTTGAACCATGTGAGGCATCTGTATTTTTGAACAGAAGTTGCTC